GTTCAATGTTTTAGTAATTTTACTTACAGATAAGAGATTAAATGGAAAACGAGGAAGATGTAGCACAAAAGAAAGTGGAAGGGTATTAGTGTTGGCAGATCCAACACCCTCCACAGATATGGTGGATCCATTAGCCAATACAACTAAAGGAAAGGAGGTGGTAGGTGTATAGGAGGATAATATACTTTGGTTCCCAGTCATATGATCAGTTGCTCCTGAATGTATAACCCAAGTATAAGATGATGATGATATAAGGCAAGCGATGGGTTTACCTATCTGGGCAAGTAGCCGTAGTAGGAGAGGATTGAGTATTCTTCACTTGCTCAAACTAGTAGCGAGTGTCTTCATCCATAGGACTCTCCTGTACAGCCACATGTGCACTCTGGGGTTATTTTTCCTATAGCTGAGGATAATGACATTTCATGTGACCCGGTTCCTTACAATAATGATAATAGATATAGGGACTATATGAGCCATCCTCTGCAGCTCCTCGTGAACTATCACCTCGTCCACCACGTGCTCTAAAGCATCCTTCACGTCTACCAATCCGACCTCCACCACGTCCACCCACTCGACTAGTTGTCTGTCTACTCTGTGTGGAGAGAGCAGACTTGCTTGTAGACTCTACGATAGTACTTTTTGGCAAAGCTAGCGTGACTGATCTCAAAAAGTAATACGTCTCTGCTAAAGATCATATAGCAAAGTTCCCAATAACTTGTGGCCTAGCTAAATTGTAAGACTGTGGAAGAGAACCAAGAAAGGTCAATATCATCAGTTGATCACATTGATCTTGCATCTTTTGAATATCCCCTATAATAGGAAAAATCTATCGCAGCTCCTCTATGAGGTGATTGAAGTTGCCATAATGCTCCTCAAAGGTTTGACTATATTCATCCATCCTACTTGTAGGGTATAAATTTGATTTCCCGAAAACAAGGAGTTTCATTTGTATTGATAAGAAAGCTTATCACAAACTAATAATCAAATGTTTACAACAGAAGCAGAGGGAATGCCCTCTTTGTTTAGTGTGGGGACTTTTGGTGGCTACAGGATGCTTCGCTCGATGCTCGTGTCGAGTCTGCTTCCCTTGGACCGTTCGATCGAGGTTGCCGTGGAGCTTCAGTATGCAGCAGAAGCTCGAGTCGATAGAGTTCGGGTCTTCTAGTTCGTCGGTGATCGGGGCTCGGAACTAGGAAGCGGTGCTGCAATGCAAGGATTATGCAAGGAGCTCGGTCTCAACTCTTTTCTCAAAGTTTTTCGACCTCCTCTAAGCTTGCTGGAAGAGGCTTTGAAATGGAAGAAGGACAGCTTGACTGCTCCTTGAATTATGGGATGTGACCATACATTGTTCGGAGATATCCTGCTGCTTATTCGTACCACGAGTGGTCATTCGAAGAGCTGTGCTCTGCATCACGTCATGTAGGAGTGGGAAAGCCCCTCCTCGTATGCGTGACAACGACTGTCAGATGCTTGCGTGGATCTGCCCAACCACCGAGCGCCGGCGGCTCTCACCCTTCGCTTGGACAACTGAGGTGAGTCGCATTTATGAGGGTGCAGGCTGCTTTGAGGCAGGCCTAGAGTACAGTATCTTCTCTCTTCAGGTCGAGAGAGGCGGGGAAGCAGGTTCCTGGCACTCGAGTGGGTTTGGACAGCTTGCCGAATGCTGGCAGATCCATCTCTTGACTCAGACAGCCGAGGTGAGTTGCATTTATGAATGTTCAGGTCGACTCGATACCTGCCCAGTCATTCGTACTGTGAGCGGCCGTTTGACGGTCTTGGAGTACTGTGCCCTCTCCCTTCGGGTCGAGAGAGGTGAGAAAACCCATCTCAGCACGTAGGGCGACAGATATCCGGCTGTACTGACAGCCTTGAGGTTTGCACGCGGATTCGACTTTGGACTCGGGCAGGCGAGTTGTGTAAAAGGCGAAATTCCGCTATTCCCAGTTGATTCTGGCTCGCGCAGGCGAGTTGATCATTCAGGTGAATTTCTTGCAAGCTCGCAGAGGTATTTTTTTACCGTCTACACTACTCCAAAATAACTCCTGAATGACGTCATACGTCTGATTGGATTGTCCTCGGCCTGAGTACAATTGTTCAAAGAACTTCCACACTTGTTTCACTGTATTATAGTGAATTGCTAGCTGAAGAACCTGTGGTTCCATACTATTCTAAATTTGATGAAGTAGACTAGTGTCATCCTATTTCCAGGAGCAGTGGCTAGTAAAGGAGGGTAATTTGTAAGACGACGATCCTTTCCAGCTCCTGAAATATAAACTCGAACCAGTTGTTCCAGAATAGGTAATTAGACCCATTTAATTTTTGGTCAGTGATCTTGCTAGAAAGCACCTTCGTGTGGTCTTCATCTCATCTAAAAAAATCAACCTCACTCAACAACTTCCTTTTGGATCCAACAATAAATGATCCTTTCTAGAATCCTTTACAGGATCTAACAACAAATGATCGAAAAGGACAGATTGATCAAATCATTTACAACTAATCATCAACAAGTGATTAATCTAAACCATCCCGTAAAGAACGACTTATAGTTTATCTCAAAGAAGATTTTTAACGACTGATCGTAGCATGGAGCTAAATAATTAGCTAAAGATCTATAAAGATCTAGTTGATAAGTTAAATGATTAGCTAATGATCTATGAAGATCTAACTGATAAGCTAAATAATTAGCTAAAAATCTATGAAGATCTTGTTGATAAGCTAAATTATTTGCTTAATTTTATTTTTTTTATTTTTTTAACGATAGATGTACAGTAGAATCAGATGAATAGTACCCAATGAATAGTATCGGGCCGATGAACACTGTTGGCTAGGGTTTAGATGATGGCGGCTAGTGTTTATGAGGAGTGGAAGGTGGCGGCTAGAGTTGAGAAAATTAGGGAGGGTGGTTCTGATACCAAGTAGTTTGGGAACATCCTTATGAGTTTATTAGCTCTCTCTAGGATGTCATTTATAATGTTTAGGAAAACAAAGAATTTTGTCCCTACCCGATGTGGGGCTAAATAATAGTATACACTACTCTAAACACTAAGAAACCCCGGAATAAGATGTCTTATTTAAAGACATTTGTTACTTGTCCACTAAGGTAACTTAGCTTTAAAGAAAACTACTAAGAATTTGGTAATCAAACACCTAGAAACCTGCATGAAATCTTAAAAAATATCTGTATGACTCAAAAGATTTGAACGAGTACTCTGACTA